AAAGAAGGAAAGAGAATAGAATAAGAATTTAGAATTTAGAATAGAATAGAACCGAGAATGAATAGAATAGAACCAAGAATGAATAGAATATAATAAAGAAGGAAATAGAAGAATTTAGAATAGAATAGAATAAAAATTTAGAATAGAATAGAATAGAATAGAAATTGGAAGGGACCTCTGGAGGTCTTCTAGTCCAACCCCCTGCTTAAGCAGGAAACCCTACACCAGACAAAACCCATGGAACTGCTTGCTACCAGAAGTTGTGGGTGGTCCATCCCTGGAGGCTTTTAAGATGAGACTGGACAGCCAGTTGTCTGGAATGGTACAGGGTCCCCTGCTTGAGCATGGGGTTAGACTAGAAGACCTCCAGGGTCCCCCTTCCAACTCTTCTGTTACTCTGATTCAGGAGAGAGGACATCATCCACCCTCTTTCAAATAAAGACGCTTTAGTAGGAGCTGCTGGAAAAATGACGCGGGTCGTTTTCCTCTGCCCTCCCACCTCTTGTCATTACCTCTCGTGCAGCTCTTCAAGAACCCAAGACTTACTTGGCCGTAGTGAGAAGAACAAAAAGATTCATCAGGCTGCTCTCCAAAGTGTTGAAATACTGCAAAAAGAATGAAAAGGCATGGAGGAGAAAGCAGAATGAAACAGTAGCCTCCCAATTGACAAATTCAGAAGAATTTCGTGGCCTGAAAGGATCTCAAATGCAATAATAATAAGTCTTAAGTTTTCCTTGCTTCAGGGAAAAGCAATGAACCTGAAAACTCCTGGCTGTAACTTCCCTGGCTTAGCAGGTTACAAGCACGTCACCCGTTTCTTTTTCGCAAAACAGTTAAAGCAAAACGATGCCAATAAGAGTTGGCGTTTCAAATCCTGCCTGGGTGACACATTTCTTTATATAAAAAGAGGGAAGGAAATGGAGCCAAACTGAGAACCACAACTGCTTGACACCACAGCTAATCCAGAACTGTCTGCACAGCGCTGGAATTCACGGAAACGTCACCAAAAGTTGTTTAAAAGTTTCCCCTATTAAGATTTGTGATGGTGCCCAAGAACAGTCAAAGAGTGCCGGAATGTATGAGTTTACTTACAGGGTCCGATTTGTTTGGCGAGAAGAGATAAAATCCTAGAACAAGAGAAGAAAGAACAGAGAAAGATCAAACAAATTACCTCTATAAAGTGTTACCGAAAAAAAAGGAGAATATTTGTAGCTCGGGGTTGTCTTCTTGTCAGACGTCTTAAAAGTTGCAAGTTTTGGAGAACCCTGAGCTAGACAAATCATGCAAGGCGCAGCCAACAATTCCCACATTTTATATTGCTTTATTCTCCATTTTTCCAAACACGAGGGAGTCCCTCATTTCAAACACGAGGGGTCCTTGGTGCTGAGATTGTTTTCTTGCACGACCCAAACTAGGTAACATAATTCATACTAGAAAAGTCGGTGCAAAACTCGCCTAACCAAATTTTTCATTTAGCCACAGACATCCTGGGCTCAACTGTGTTCGTAAATCCAGAACTACCTGCATTGAATAATCTCTCCTTAAAAGGTTTTGCTTTTATCTCTGTTTGGTGTTTGTTTACTTGGAACACGGTTTGGGACAGAACAACGACTTCTCAATACACGTTTGGTCCAGATCTCTTTTACTACAAATGTTTCTGCCTTTCTTGAAAGCGTTTCGCTTTAAACAAACGAATAGAACAGTGAAAAAAAATCATACCCAGAATCGCAAAGATGACCATGAAGAAAAGCAAAAGGAGAAGAATGTCAATGAAGGGAGGTAGAGACTGGAAAATCTGACGTAAGTTTCTGGAAAACACAAGGCAAAAACCCTTTACACAATTCTTTGCCGAAAAGCAAGCGAAAAGAGAAATGCTGGTCAAGAGCATCATTGCACCAGCCTGGTTGGAGACAACCTAATCTGTTACCTTCTCACAGCTCCACAATAACGACAATCCACCAGGAAGATGCACCGCAAGGCTCGCGTGATGCGGAGGTGGGATGTCTGACGCACCAACACCACGACCGCTTCTACAAACTGCAGGAAGAGGACGCAGGTCTGCAGGAGGAGGAGAAGATCAGAGAAAGCCATCGGGTGCGGTGGAATGCGGCCTGGATTCCCAGGAGGGAGGGAGGGGAGGGGCTGCATTCCAGAGGATCCTCCAGAAGGGGCGGGGCTTAAATCACTTGGATGGGAGGAAGAGAATGAAGCAATTCTCAAGTGGACACAGGTAGCCTTCAACTTACAAACATCATTTAGTGACCCGTTCCAAGTTACGGCACTGAAAAAAGTGACATGTGACTGTTTTTCACACTTAGCCACTGTTGCAGCATTCCCCAGGGTCACAGGATCAAAATTCAGGTGCCTGGCAACTGGTTCATATTTATGACAGGGGTTACGTGATCCTCTTTTGTGAGCTTTTGCCCAGCCAAGTCAATGGAGAAGCCAAATTTGCCTAATGACCTCGTGATCCACTTAGTAACGGCCGCGATTGGCTTAACCACTGCAGATGTTAAACGAGTAGCACGGTTCTTACATGCCTCTGGTTTCCCCCATCGATGTTGCTTCTCAGAAGGGGATCAGGTGAGCCCGGGATACTACGACCGTCATAAATACAAGTCAAGTTTGCCTGAATTTTGATCATGTGACCCTGGGGATATCACAGCGGCCATTAAGGGATTTAATTTCAGGTATTCACTTAACCAACATGGCAAGAAAAGTCGTAAAGCAGGACAAAACTCACTTTGCAAATTTCTCACTTACTTAGCCACATAACTTTTGGGCTCCGTCGTCTCTCTCTCTTTCTCTTTCTCTGTCTCTCTGTCTTTATCTCTCTCTCTCTCTGTCTGTCTGTCTCTCTCACACACTCTTTCTGTCTCTCTCTTTCTCTGTCTTTCTTTCTCTGTCTCTCTCCTTGTCTCTCTCGTTCTGTCTCTCTGTCTCTTTCTCTCTGTCTCTTTCTGTCTCTCTCTCTTTCTGTCTCTCTTTCCATCTTTCTCTCTGTGTGTGTGTGTGTGTCTCTCTCTCTCTCTCTCTGTCTCTCTTTGTCTCTCTTTCTGTCTCTCTCTCCATCTTTCTCTCTCTCTGTGTGTGTGTCTCTCTCTCTTTCTCAGTCTCTCTCTCTGTGTGTCTCTCTCTTCCCCCCTCCATAGGAAACAAGAATAAACCTGACTGGGATATATTTCCAGGTAAAAATACCAGCTGAGTACTTGCTAGGTAGGTAAGGCCTTACCTTGACCATGGTTCTTTTGTGCTGGATGTAGGTATGGCAGCCCAGCCATCTTAATTTCATGGAGAGCTCAAACAACACAATGGTCAAGGCAAACAGCTCCAAGGTGGCGTGGACCTAAAACCAGATGGGGGAAGAGTGAGAGGCGAGGATCCATGTTCCTCAGCTCGTTTGTAAAAAAAAACCAAACAGCTCCTGCCTTGTGGGGTGGGGTGGGGGGCTGGACTAGAAGATCTCTGAGGAACCCTTCCAGCCTTAGGATTCTGCATTCTACATCAGGGCGTCTCCAAACTTAAAGGCCACTCTAAGAGTTGAATACCTCGTTCCCACCACCTGTCCGGATTACGGCAGTTCCCTCAATTAAATCATGAGTCTCGAGCCAAACTTCCAAAACTTAAAAAGGATTTATTGGGAGTTAACATGCCGGCACTGCCTGGATGTAGCCGACTCTGTGGCACATCATTCATTGTCACCCTTGACCCTGGTTTTGCCCCCATCCCTTGGGTGTATCGTAATTCATATTCTCCAATGGGACACATCCATAGCCAAGAATCATCGATCATGTTCTCCTGTTAGATATTTATGAGGCAGAAACTTCAGTCACCTCGAAACTATCTTTGAAAAGCTATTTATGGAATGCACTTTTGATTTCCAAGCTGCCGCACTGCTCTTTCCAAACCCCTTTCCCCCCCCCTCCCTTTCTGTTGCCAACTCTAACAAGACCGTATTTTATGAGTTGACACCGCCTTGTCTTAGACCTTACTCGTGCGGTAGGCTGTACTGCTACTATCCTTCTCATCTTCCGCCTCTCTCATCTACTTATCCTTCCTACTCTCTTTCTCCTATGGGTATCTTATGATTTATCACTTGTTGCTTGTATCTTGTGATGAAACGGATTTGTAACTAAGATTTATGATCTGTGACCTATCCCTTCATTGTTTGTTATGTGTGTGCACACTGCGAGCTTACGAACCGGAGACAAATCCCGTGTGTGCCCAACCACACTTGGCCAATAAGGAATTCAATTCTACTCCCAGAATTCCTCATGCCGGCCTCAGGAATTCTGGGAATTGAAGTCCACAAGTCTTAAAAAGCAAATTTGGAGAATCCACCCAACCTACGAACAACCACAAACAGCCCCAACCTCGTTCCAGCTAAACGGAGTGTGTAGTTGGAAGGTCTTCGTCACCCACCCCAACCTTCTCCAAGAGGTTGGAGTTTCCTTTGTTTCTGGGGAGGAAGCCTCACATAATGTCTTGTCCCCGGATCCTCCCGGGCCCCCTCCCCCTCCCCCCGTTCCCCAGGAACTACATACGTAAATGCCCAGGCGAAATATGGCAACCGCGGGGGCTTCGCAGAGTGACAGCAACAAGAGCGAGAGAGCGGTGGTTAGTTCCATCAAATAGAAGAGGTGGTTGTGGACGAAAAGGTAGGAAGCCAGAGCTTTGGGGTCCTTGGGATGGGTGACGAATTTATCATTGTTCTCGCCTTCCTGGAATGTATAACGGGGGAGAAAAAGGAAGAAAAATGACATAACTATGGCACAAACCGCAAACACAGGCGGTCCCCGACTTACAATAGAGCCTTAAATTTTCTGTTGCTAAGCGAGACGTTCAAAGCGTTGTGCCTCGTTTTACAACCTTTCTGTCCACAGTTGTTGGGATGTGTATCTTAGGATGAACAACTGTAACTATGATTTATGATCTACTAGCAAGGGTACCCCGTGCTTCGCTACGAAACTATGTGGTCGGGCTTAGTATTTGGGGAGGAAAATAAAGGGAAAAATTCTGCCTCTGTCTACCAGCATCCATCGGTATCCATCTGGCTAGCGTCCTGTCAGTGTGTGAGAGAGTTGAGGGCTATTTGGAAACTGAAGCAGCATTTGCTGTGTGAGCAAGGAGGAGACAGCAAGGAGCCTGGGCATGGCTTAGCTCAACTGTTCTGGAGTAATGCTGGTTGCTGCTGTGAAGCTAAAACTGAAACTCCTCTGCTTGTGTTTTGCATTTAGAACAGATTTCTTTTCAGGTGGGGAGGGGGAGTAGAACTCCTTAGCATCAGTGTGTGTTAATAATAATAATAATAATAATAATAATAATAATAATAATAATAATAATAATAATAATAATAATATAGGAAATACTAATGCTCTGATGGTCATTTTGAAAAATCCTTTCTTAGTGAGCCCCTAGAAGCCAAGAGGAACATAGGTGCCAAATTTCAAGTTTGTAGGCTTTCCGGTTCTGGAGATTTTGTGATGATGAGTGAGTGGTCTTTCGCTTATATATGACCTATCCCTTTGTTGTTTGTATGTGTGTACACTACGAGCCTATGCACCCGAGACAAATCCCTTGTGTGCCCAGCCACATTTGGCCAATAAAGAATTCAATTCAGCTCCCAGAATGCCTCACGCCGGCCTCGGGAATTCTGGGAGTTGAAGTCCGCAAGTCTTTAAAAAAGTGGCCAGAATTGGAGGATCCTGGTCTACCCAACAAACCAACCTACAATCAACCCAACCTCGTTTCAGCTAAACTGAGTGTGTGACAGGAAGCTGTTCGCTCGCCCATCCCAACCTTCTCCAAGAGGTTGGAAATCTATCCTTCTCGCCTTCAACTCCCAGAATTCTTAGCGCCTGCTCTTCAGGCTGGGGGATTCTGGGACCCCCACCCGTAATCCCATTTTACCTCCCCTTCTTCCCCCACAAGACGTAACGCAAAAATTACGGCCCACCTGTAGATAAATTGCAGCTTCCTGGTAATTCATTTCCCAAGTCCGTCTTCCACGATCCCACGGAGACCGTCGCTCTCCCGTCGCTGGGCTGGACATATCGCGGATGTTGTCATAATTGACGCCATCTTAATGGAAAACGGGGAGGAAAGATTGTACGCTCTAGGCAACTCCATTTTTGGCCTCTTTGCTCCTCAAGACCTCCTCTTCCCAAGGAAGGCGAGACCTTCTTAAGGTTAAAATTGTGCTGGAGGCGTTTGAGCGAGAAGTTTGTGTCCCCGGAAACTTGTCAAGTTCCTAGACCTCATGAGGTCGGCTGTGCTGAATTCCCAGAGACCAACCATGTTTTTTTTTTTTTTGAAAACAGTTTTATTAGTTTTTAAAGACAAACAAAACAAACAAAACATAAAAACATCCAACTTTTCCATAAGTATACAAACAGTGTGTCGGTTGGTTTACCAATTTTTTTGTGCATCCATTTCATAGTCTCAATTACAGTTACATTACATAATGACTCATATTATCAATCAAAAATTATATACCCTAGTATCACTATTAAACAATCATTTGACTATGATTTTATTCATTCATGCTTTACGAGATAGCTATAATTTACTTAATTTAATAACAAATCATATAATCATACCAAATCTATCCTAAAAACATTTTATAAATATAATATCAAATAAAAAAGAAAAAAATGTCTCTTTATATATTCATTATTATCTAAAATTCTGAATATTCTATTTATTATGTTTTATCATCCAACCCAGAGACCAACCATGTTGTGAAGGGGAGCTCTGTTTATGCAGCACAGTCAAAATAATTTTTTTTAAAAAAAAACGCTAAAAGTTACAGTTAAGGTTCATTTCTGTTTCTTAAAAACGTCTTGGCATTTTGTGTTTGCCACCCTGGTAGCCACTCTGATTCCTCTTTTGTTCCCAAAGACATTTTAAACTCAAAAACATTCGGCTGTGTTTATTTTCTCTTTTTGAGGGAAACGTTAATTAACTTTGGTCAACAAATCAGGGGACTGGAGGCTAAAACATACCGTAAGAACGGTTGTGTTCTGACCCAAACCTTGTTCCAAGGAAACAAACACGAAACAAAAGTAACAGGAAAAACCTTTTAATGATTCTTTACCAATTCCGTTCCTTCATGGTTAAAAGGCTGTTTCAAATTAATTATCTCTGATAAGAATGAGACGTGCCAAGGTGGTGCAAGGTTGCCAAGAACACTAGATAAAGTTACTAAGAAATATTTCAAACACAAACACCAACCAAGATATTTCAAATGTCCACAAGGCTTGAGTGCAAAAACTTCTTTGCTTCCTGCAAAGAACTCCGGTTTCTCAGCTGGCTTTTATCTCTTAAGGGAGGGGCTATTATCTTGCAGCCTTACTCCCGAGTCACCTATGCTGCTGCAGCTGCTCTTTCCTTCATGCACACTGGGCACAGGCTCCTCGGGGACCTCTTCCTCACTTCTTGCCAGCCTCCACAACCTCCGAAGGCAGCACTCCACTCCCTGATGGTCCTGGCCCCATCCCTGCATCCCACGCGGGCCCCTCATCTGAGTCCTCGCTCTCCGAGACCTCAGACATCTGCACCTGATTGTGCGTGCATGCGCAGGAGGCGTGGGGGGAGCGTGCACATGCATTGCCTTCTGAGTGCTGGCATGCAAGCGCGGACACTTTTTGGCACAGGAGCCCAAAAAGGTTAGCCACCACTCTCTTCTTGAAAAACCTCCAGGGACGGAGCAACCAGAACTGCAAATTGAACATGCCTCGGTTTGCAAAGACGTCCGAACCTATTTCCACTTGCAAAGCTTTCCAAAAACAAGCAGGCTGCTTTGCACAAAGGAATGAGTGTGCTTCTGAGATGCCCACCATCCTTTGTCTGGTTGCTCTGGGAACAGGTGGAAATCACACACACAGCATCCTTAAAGCGAGCACTAAAAAACCCTGGAAAGTCGACAACCCGAGCTGACTCAGAAAACCAGAATAACAAATGTTGGGAACAACAAGGCAGGAGGGGCGGGGGAAAAAAACCCTAGAATGTCACAGCTTTCAGGAAATGGGATCTGGCAAGGATGAATTAACATCCATTTCATGATCCTCTCCAGTTTCTTTGCTTTTTAATACTTGCTGAGCTTCCGGGATGCGGAGAGGAGGGGGAGAAAGTGTCATGCCCTTGGTAGAGTTGGACTCTGAGGGAGAGGAGGAGGAAGAGCCGACAGGGAGTGGAGGTGTGGCTCTGTTGGTTGTGGAGGAGGCTGGGGAAGGGCAGAGGCCGGCTGGGCAGTCAGAGGAAGAACCAGATCCATCCCCTCTGCATCTTAGGACACGCAGGGAAGAATGGAGAAGGAAACAACTTGGCCTTCGAGAGAGGAAGCAGCCATGATCCCCTCATTGGTTGCAGCTGGGGAGACTAGTATATAAGAGAGACAATTACAACACAGTGTTGCCAGAAGCAAAGCGTCGTAAGTCACTTTGTTCGGTGCCGTTGTAACTTCAGTCACTAAGCGAACTTTTGTAAGTCAAGGACTATCTGTTCAGTTCGCCACCATAACAGCTAGACCCGTCATGGCAAACCTATAGCATGCATGCCGGAAGTGGCACGCAGAGCCACTTCTGCTAACACGCCAGAGGTCGATCGGAAGAGCCCCACCACGCATGAGGCACGCCGCCTGTCCGACAGCTGATTGTTGGGTATCTGGCACACATGTGCGAGGTGTGCGTGGGAGATGCACACGCATGACCAGACACACTGGAGATATGGAGCATGTGAGGGGCGCGCACATTGCCTTCCGAGTGCTGGCACGTGCAATTTTCGGCACGGGAGACAAAAAAAGTTTAGCCACCCCTGAGCTAGACCAAACTAGCTTTCAGGAATTCACTAGCAAAGAGACAAAAACAGACGTGATTTTCCAGAGTGCGTGGGGACACTTTGCACGAACAGATGCACCGTGGCATTTTCTTATTTCCTGTGGGCCACATTTATATATATATATATACATATATATATTCTTTTTTTCCCTCCTGCCTCCTTGTTCTGAATCACTTCATCCTCCTCTCTCCTCTTCACCAGGATCTCTTTCCAAGGTGATCAAAGGAGTCAATCAGGCTTTAGAAAAATAAAATTAAAATCTACTCTTCGTTCCTAGATTTGCAACTCCGGAGTACACCGTCCCTCGGCCGGCAGGAGTGACAAAATCATGTTTTGTTTTGTTTCCCCCCACCCCCTTTTATTCGTTCCTTTTTTTTCACCCAGAGATTTCCAGCTTGCTTTCTGCCAACAGATGGCATTGAAGGGCGAAGAGAAAAACAACCAAGTAGGCCGTTTGGAAAGGCCGTTTTAAAAACAACACGAAATAAAGAAGCGCCCTCAGGAATGTAACATTACTTTCCTTCCACGCTTGGAACCTAGAATCGTAGCACTGGAAGAAGGGACCTTGGAGGTCTTCTAGTCCAGCCTCTGCCCGTGGCAGGACACCTTATACCAACCCAGTCATAGAATTGTCCAGTTTCTGAAAACCTCCAGTGATGGAGCAGCCACAACTTCCAGAAACAAGCTTTTCCCACTGATTTATTGTTCTCGCTCTCAGGGACTTTTCTATTTAGTTCTAGGTCTTTAACCAGCTTCTGTCTGCTACCGTACTTCTTGTCCTGTCCTCTTGATACCCTAAATAAATGAGTCTGAATCAGAAATCCTGTAGAGCTGGAAGGGGCCCTAGAGGTCTACTAGTCTAGCTCAAGTAGGAGATCCTACACCCCCTCTTTTTTTGTGCCAGCCCCTCCAATTACGGAAGACTGCTATCATGTCACCCCCTAACCCTTCTCTTCATTAGGCGAGACATAATGAGTTCCCCTCCAACGGTTCATCACATAATTTGGCCTCCAAACTAAACTGCCCATCAGGCAGGTTACTCCTGCAGCGGCCCCAAAATGGTCCCAATTTTGCAAGTGAGGACACCCTCACCCCGCCCCGACTTAAAATGCAACCCCTGGCCAACTTGGTGCTCCCACCCCTCTTACCCAACCCAGCTGAGGCTGCTGGGAATTGGAGTCCAAAAGCCCGATTTACAGTATATACATCATCTCTCTCTTCTATCTGTCTCTGTCTGTCTGTCTCTCCCTCTCTTTCTGTCTCCCTCTCTCCGTCTCTCTCTCTCTCTCTCTCCCTCTTTCTCTCTCTCTCCCC